TTTTACCCGTCTAATACTAGTAAGTGGACAAAAGAAAAGAGACAGATAAAGAATGGGTGAACTGTTGTTTCATTTCATTCATTCAATGGCAGTCGTTTAGATAAGCAGGACAGGGGTCCGTTGGGGAAGGATTTCCTTTTTATTTTGGAACCTTTTTATTTATTTTGTGCATAATTTTTTTGGGGGGTGAAATTACCATCGTCACCATGGAAAGTAACATGCGAATTTTCATCCTGGAGTTTTAGTTTATAGAATGGAAATTCTCAACTTTTACAAGTGCAGCCATTTGGAAACAATCCTTATAAAAGATATAAATTTGCCGATTTTTTCTCAAAAATGGATTTAAATTCGATTATACAAAGTGCTGTATCAAAAACACTTAAAAGATGGGAATTATTAATTTTGAAGATGGTTTAAACTCGATTCTTTCATGGATTTTCTAGTTTGTAGCAACTTAATTTCCTTGCGATTGCTTTCCCTAATTTTTTTCTTTTTTTGGAGGGGGGCGGGGTGGTCGGGGGTAGGTGGAAATATTTAACTTATTCCACTCTTCTTTTTGTTTTTAAATACCGTCCGATTTTGTTATCATTGCCGTCTGATAATATATTATCAGACTGGTAATTATTATTATCGGACGGCTACAGGTAAATTTTTAGACTGCAAGAACAAAGGCATGACGTCACAGCAATGTTTTAAAACTATATATATATGAAAGCTTTGATTTAACTGGTGCTTCTCAATGAGAGAAGCAAGCCAACGAATATTGAACGAAATATGCCAGGAGTCCAACGGCATCGTGTTGACTCAGGACCCCTGGCTTGCGAGGATGGAAATAGCTAAAAAGTTGAAAAAGACGATTATATAAAAATAACAATGACTTTGTAAAAATATACTGAAATACAAAACAAACAGCTTAAAATTAAATCAATAAAATAATTGTTCATTGCAAAATCTACATACTCAATTGCAAAATAAACAGACTCTATATTTCAAAACGAACGATCACCGATGCAAAACCAACTGCTGAACGCCAACTTCACAAAAATGAGCCAAGCATTTTACTGAGTCTATTGAATATAAACTATGTGTATATAGTCAATGACTTAAGTCTATATTTCTTATCACTTTGCGATTGCAAAACATTTGTTTGTTGTTTAACGTCACTCTCGAAAATGTTTCACTTAAAAGGAGACACAAGCACCACGGCGAGGAGCTTGAATTTATACTAGTGAAGATCTTTTCGTGCCAGCATCTACTACGACACGGGACCTCGATTCATACAGTATCATCCGAAAGACAGGTGTCATACAGTGAGACCTCCCCGGAAGTCTAGCTATATAGAGAGACTTCTCTCCGGAAGTCTAGCTATACAGTGAGACTTCTCCCCGGAAGTCTAGCTATATAGTGAGACTTCTCCCCGGAAGTCAGTTCCGTATAGCGTCTTCCAGGGGGAAGTCTCACTTTATAACATGTCTTTTGGGGGAATTCTCACTATGTAGTCAATCTTCCGGTGGAGGACTCACTATACGACATCGGTGTCTACGTCCCGCACTGGCCACATTGCAAAATGTAGTTTATAGATCTGATAATGCAGTTTCATTAGGAAACGCAGTTTAATGTCAGAATATCTGGTTTTGTGAAAAAAAAAATGCACAATTTTCTGTGAATTTACGGTATATCTCACCATTTTATAGCTCGCGATTAAAAAGCTAGTTACTTTTGTCCGTAAACCATAGATACTGTGGATTCACTAATTAAATTTTCGTTGTTTTTGGGGTATGGAGAGACCCAGGAAATGTAAAATTTAATATGCATTACTACTCAACACTTCTCTAACCACGAAATCAAATCTTCATACATCAATACCCTGCATATTTTCCTTGGTTGTGAAAAATATATTTCTTGTTGCCACCAAAAACGTTTTTTTAAATCATTTTGAGCAAATCTTGTAGGGAATAAAAAGATAAACAAGAGATGGTTGCTGAATATCCGCACCCTCCACCAAATAGACTCAAGGAAATTGACAGGTATAACAATCAAAAGCTGAAACAGGGCTTGTAAACTTGTCAGTTATCATCAGATATTGTACTCAGGAAGGAACGACGAACAGCACAGCAGTGGAGCGGGCTTAATACTTAGTAGGGACCCAGGCAAGGACATTGTACATGTACATAGTAGGTTGGAAAACATTCAACGAAAGACTTCTTTCTGCAAGATCCCCATCAATATATGCTAAACTGACGGTTGTAGTCTGCTACTCACCTAGAGAAGACAAAGAAGAGGAAGACAAGGGATTCTTTTTAAGAAGAACTACAGAGAGCTTTGAAGGAAACACCATGCAGTTCATGATGTACATGTACTCCTCATACTTGGCGATCTCAATGGAGGATTCAAAAGAACAGATTCACCAGTGCGAAATCAAGATGGAGAATTGGCCTTCAGTATAGAAGAGCTTGTCTGTTGGCGAAATCATTTTGAAGGAGTATTAAACCTGGAATGTCCATCAACAAAACATGCTGAAATAAGCCAAGGCTTAGACATTTTGGGCATCGATTGATTGTATATTGTTTAACGTCCCATTCGAGAATTTTTCACTCATATTGAGACATCACCGTATGCCGGTGAAGGGCTTCAAATTTAGATCTATACTCGGCACTCGGGGCCATTGAGCAGTGAGGGTTCTTTATTGTGCCAAAGCCGACCGTGACACGGGACCTACGTTTTTACGGTCATATCCGATAGAACCATGACTTTAACTTCTAATGCCGAGCGCTTGGCGAAGGAACAGTTACTGCCTATGCTTACGTCTTAGTTTGACGCGGCGCCGCGAATGAGAATCAAACCCGGGCCTACCGATCACTTTTGGGCATCGATACCAACGTATCAAAAATAGAGGAAGTAAAAAAAGCCACCAAACTTCTTAAGACTAGGAAAGCCCAATGGATTGATAAGGTACTTGCAGAAATGTTAAAAGCTGAGGAAGTGTTAACACCCAGACTTCTCACAAATATCCTGCAAACTATCTGACAGATAAAAACAGCATCAGATGATTGGAAGGTTGGTCTCATAGTGTAGCTGCCCGAGGAAGGTGATTTAGCTGACATAAATAACTGGAGTGGAATTATGTTGTTGTCGGTTTCCAAGCAGAGTCATCTTAAAGAATAGCCTTAACAGTAGACCCAAACCTTCGTAAAGAAATACCTGGATTCAGAAAAGGACAATTATGCACAGTCCAGATATTTTCCTTGGGGCAAAAATTAACACAGACCAATGAATGGAACGAATTGCTGATTGCCAATTTCATCGACTCTGCCAAAGAATTTGACGGTATACATCCTCCTGCTTTATGAAAGGTCCTCAGACACAATGCATCCCTAACAAGATAATTTCCATCATTCAGATGTTTTGCAAGCATTTCCAAGCAAAGGTGATCTCTGGCACTGATAAACAGCTTCCCAATCCAAAAGGTTGTACGAAAGGGATGACTTCTTTCATCACTGTCCTTTTCTTTCTGCAGACTGGGTTATGAAAATTACTTCCAGTCAGACTAATAGAGGAATATCCTTGACATTTTAAACAGTTATATACTAAAAGATCTTGACTTTGCAGATGACAGCGTTTTACAAGCACGGCGAATTAATAAGGATATCCAAAGCAAAACGGGATGAACTGGTCAAGTAAACATGGTCAAAACAATGTTAATGAAGATAAATACAAAGACAGATAAAGAAGTTAAGCAAACAATAACAGAATAGAAAAAGAAGGCAATTTTATACACCGTGGCAGCAAGATCACAGCCAATGGAGATTTCACCAGACGTTAAAAATGAATAGAAAAAGCGCGTGTCACCTTTGCCAACCTACAAAACCTGGAAATCCTCAAATATCAGAACCAAAACCAAAAATATGGGTATTCAAAACAGATGTCGTTGGAGTCCTTCTCTATGCAACTGAGTCCTGGAAGGTGACAAACAACATCACTCAACAAGAGCGTGGGCCACAATGCTAACCTGTATAAATGTTAAAGTTTTTAATTTTTTTAACCCTTAAATTCTTGCGTACGTTTATTTTTTTGGTTTTCTCCTTGGTCGTTTTCCTGATGGTCCATCGTAGGGGACTTTTGGAATTCTTTATCCCTTTGTGTCACTTTATATGCACCCTAATCGATAGATCGGGGGCGCATATTGTTTTTGTCCTGTCTGTCTGTTTGTCTTAAAACTTTAACCTTCCCCATAATTTTTGAACCATGAGAGATAGAGACTTCGTATTTGGTATGCATACCACTAACTAAGCCGTTTCAAATGACACCAAGGTCAATGACCTTGTGATTTTGACTGTCACCTATATGCAAAAAATAGTTTTTTTAACCTTCGCCATAACTTTTGAACCATGAGAGATAGAGACTTCACATTTGATATACATACACCACTAATTAAGCTCTTTTAATTAAATGACACCAAGGCCAATAACCTTGTGACCTTAACTGTGCTTACATTGACTATGCTAAAAATAGCCTTTTTGAACCTTCGCCATAACTTTTGAACCATAAAAGATAGAGACTTCATATTTAGTATGCGTACTCCAGTAAATAAGATCTTTCAAATGACATCAAGGTCAATGACCTTGTGACCTTGACTGTGACCTACATGCTAAAAATAGTTTTTTCGAACTTTGTTGCCGCCCAGCGCACAGTGTTTCACAAACACATCTTGTTATAAGGCTTTGTCGAAACCTCCACTGGCTCCAAAGAACATTTAATCACATTTAGATTCATAAATTGAGAGCTGCACAAAAATATGTCAATTTAACTATTTTAAGCTTCAAATTTTGACTTTTTATTCAAATTATAATTAGTTATTGTTCCTGGTTGAAGAACAGAATTCCTTTAGTCAAAGCGAGTTACCTTAAAATTCTGAAGACCATTTAATGCAATATATTACCGGGTAATTTATGGGTGTCCTTGGCCTTTTGACCTCTATGCATCTTAAAAAGCAATAATGATTATCTTAGAAAATTTTATCTCAAAAATCTGAGATGTCTTCCATATGACTTCATACTAGTGTATGACACACACAGATGGAAGAATGGACAAACCCAAATTATATTCATCACTTTTGTGGAAGCATGGGAGACAATTAATTTCTTTTGGAAAATCACACCTTAAAAATAACTTTTATAGAACTTAATAGAAGGATGATAAAAAGGAATGATTTTTATAACAATTAACCACAATAAGTTTCGTTATTATGCAAATTTTGTGTACTTGAACACTCTATACAGTATACAATGTATGTTCAAAAATGTTGCATAGTGTACCATAAATATTAAGAAAAAATATCACAAAAATTATAAATCAACATTACAGTATATATTTAATACACTTTTTAAATTTAATTTTTTAAACTTTGGACACTCAGCATTTTAATCCAAAGCTTAGTCTTGGTTCCCATAGGTAGCTCACACTTAGAATGAATAAAATCTGTTGTACTTGATTTAGAATGAATCTTATCCTCTCGAGTACAACTTGGGTAATCCTGGTCAATGTAAGGAAACACGAACCCGGGAAAACTGTGGGGTAACCCTGATGTTGTACTCCGATTTCTCTTCACTTCGATATTGTTATCCAGACACTATCACACAAAACAGCGTATAAGGTGTGGCCATTTTACACCCACATGAAGTGATAATCTTCCTGGAGGCAGAATATCTGTCATTTTAAAAGTCAAATTTCACACTTATATCACTTTTACCACACTTCTAAGGTTATTTATACTGAAATACAGTTCCATAACCCACAAAGAAAAAACACACACATGCATAAATTTACTGCTTTTTTAAAAAGTACTCAGACATTGCTATCACCTTTTAGGGCTGTAAAACAGATTTTTTTAATACGGACAAGAATCATGTTTTGGGTATTTTATAAAGCCAGACTGTGTCCACGCCAGTGCCTATTTCAGCCTCGGGTTCAATATTCGGTAGAGGAAATCTACAGGCGACAACTCTCACATCACCTTTACTTTCTGCGATAATTTTCTTCTCAAGTTCCTTCATCTATTTAATTGAAATAAGTTTTTTTTTTAAATAATGCCAATACATGCAAGTTCTTCTACCAGTTCCAAAATATTCAAAGTGTAGATATACCCACATAATTATACATACAGGAAATTCAAGTTCTATTTTTTTTTTTTGCATAATTAACAATGGCCTTACTTATGCTTAAATAATTGTCCTGTGCCTAATCGCAAGCATAGTGAACTCTGTGGGTCCAACAGACTAGCTCCACAATGAAGCAGAAGTAAAACATTCAGTGATTTAAATAAACAATACTAACCATACTCTGGACTCCAAAAATGACAATATTGTCATATTGCTGAAGATTATGCTGAAACGAAAACACAGACACACTATGAGCTTCCACATAAATATTGTACTTCTCACAATGAACATGCATGCTCCTTGATTACATGTATAAATGCCTTATGAATTCAAACCATTGGAGCAACATATTCATTGAACAGGGTGGACCTCAGCAGGAGTCTGTCTGTCTGAGTTTTGCATGGACACAGTAGTACCTTGGAGATATTTTTCATAAACCTTTTTAATTGTTGCATGATTCTCAATCCTATCAATTACAATTTTAGACCCCGTGGGGATCCGGGTTAGAATAGGTCCTTAGTACCCCCTTGCTTGTCGTAAAAGGCGAATAAATGGGGCGTTCCTTCGGATGAGACCGTATAAACCGAGGCCCCGTGTCACAGCAGGTGTGGCACGATAAAGATCCCTCCCTGCTCAAAGGCCATAAGTGTCGAGCATAGGCCTAAATTTGTAGCCCTTCACCGGCAAAGGTGATGTCTCCATATCAGTGAAATATTCTGGAGAGGGACGTTAAACAGTATACAATCAATCAATCAATCAATTACAATTTTAGGGGCTGACTTTTGCACTGACTCATTTCTACCAAAGCATGATTTAAATTAATGCATATTTGTCATTTTCTTCATGTACTAATCTCATATACCAAAACATGCAAACATAATACACAGTAGATACTTTGTTGGCACTATCTCTGTATTAAGGTATCAATTTGAAGAAAACAAATCTTAAACATTAATCTTCTCTTCAAAACAATAAACAATTCTAATGCCAATTTTTTTCCAAACCAATATGCAAGCATCCTTGTATGTTATATACTCTAACTTGTAAGAAACATGTGTCTCTTCTTTATCCTGTTAGCACATACATATACAATGTTCAACTGAATACTAGCTAGTAAGAGGAAAATATTTTTACAATAACAATTAAAGCTTATGTTTGTCAAATTAATGTCAACAACTTCTTATTTTCATGCAACTCTGTGACCTAAATTTGTAAAAACCAATAACAGTTAATTAATTCCTTGTAAATAACTTCTGTTTGAAGTCACAAGAATATCAAATATTTTGAAGAAATACTGTTTCTTTATGGTTTTCCTTATAAAAACTGTAAGATTTCATTAATGATAAAGAGAAATAAATATCAAATGCATTGTGGTCCATATCTTGCCAGCCAATGGTGCGAATCTATCTCTCTTTCCTCCTCTATGGAAGAGCTCTGGAAGATGGAATAGACCATTACCCTTGGCTGGCAAAGATGTGTGGCCTTTGGAACAATAAGATTAAAATCAGATCCTTTGATCCGCTCTCATAGATCGCTACACAAGGATCTGAAGAAACCCCATTCAGGGTCATCTCCTGGTGACCTTTCTCATTAAAATTTTGACCAATCAGAGAGATCGTATTTAAATGCATTCGAGAAAATGAATGTAGAAGTGAAAGTAGCTGTAGAGAAGATATTATCGTTTCATACCTAACAAAGAGCTCAAAGCCAAGACAAAAGCAAGTACTTATTATATTTCTGTACAAGAAAGACTGTAGTCGTTCTCTTGGCAGGCTATGCTATGGAAACTAGGTCACTATTTTTCATTCGTGTGTCATCGGGGCTTTTACTTCTGTAACTGAATTTCGAGATACTTCTAAATTCTTGGAAGTGAACGTTTGATTGGATAATTGAGAGGTCATCAAGGAGATGACCCTGAATGGGGTTTCTTCAGATCTTTGTGTAGCGATCTATGTGAGCGGATCAAAGGATCTGATCTTAATCAGATTGGCCCTTGGAATTGAGTCTGCATGTGTTTTTGGAAAGTGAATTCCATCCACTACCAAACACACCTGTGTAACATTTGATATGGCTTTAAAATAAAATTTTGAATAACAAATTAGCTTTAATTAACATAACATATTGACAATAATTAGCTTTTTATTACCTTCCAGAGATCTGTTCTGATGAATTTAGTCTTTGATGTGAGACCTTCCCTTGCAGCTTTGAATTTGGAATACAGTACCAACCAAATATTCATCTCCACACCATCAGCTGTGAAGCCCCTCTTTGCCGCTTCTCTGACCTGTCCAAATAAAAATTGACAGATACTTGCATGGAATTCTTGTGATCATTCCTCCAATATGAAATAAAATGACATTGTACAATAAAAATTAGTATTTCTGCAGCAGGCTCAAGTCATTAACCCTTGTATGAAATACTTGTGATTTTTCCTCCAAAATGAAATATAATGACATGCAATAAAAACTTATTTTTCAGGCTCAAGTTATTGATCCTTGTATGAAATTCTTGTGATCATTTCTTTGAAGTAGGAAACAGTGAAATACTATGAAAAGTCATTTTATTTAGACTAAAATAAGCATAGATTCATGAATTAGTCAACTGCATGTTAAATGCTTTTGTGGTTTTCCTTGTAAATATCAAATATTTCACAAATAAAATATATTAATAGAAAAATTAAATAAGTGCAGATTTAAAAAAAGAAAGATGTGTTTGTGAAACACATATTTCCCACAAATGGCAGATTATGATGAGGGCTGAGGCTCAAAGTTTCTCAAATGCCAATCAAAATCCAAGGTCAAATTCAAGAGATCAAATAAATTTTTATTACGCAAGCAAAGGACTTGTGTCAATTAATTGAAATATGAAAGCCAAAGCACCAAACATTCAATAGTTATGAGCCTGCTTAAAGTTTTTAAAAAGTGAGTCAATTTTTAACATAGTAATGTCAAGATCAAAAGGTCAAAATTAATGGTACCCAGGGGTATGTCTTGTTAAAAGATATAGTGTATAATATAAAAGTCCTAGCACCAACTGTTCAAAAGTTATGGGCAAGAATCTTGAAGCAAGATTGACATTTTTCAATTTTGAGATGAAAATTTCATTATCATCCCCTTTTCTTGCATTTATTTAAAATTCGAATGTTGTTTCATTATTCAATCGTCGGTCAATTCGACTGACAGTCGAATAGTCAACTATTCGTTGACATCCCTAGAAATATTAGAGACATATCTCTACCCAATCAAAAGTTATGGGCAAGGTTAAAGACTTTGCAAACAAAGAGACAGCTGGACAGACAGACAGATGGATGGGCAGGGCAAAAACTAAACATTCTTGAATCTTTGATTATAGGGACATAAAAATTGATACTAAATGAGCATCACATGATCACAACCTATATAATATTTTAGATTTTGTACACATTACACTCATATATGGTGCCAAGACAAGTCTGATCCATTCCCACAATGCCAGGGGTCCTTCGTCAACATGTTGCTATTAGATCCCTGGCATGTTTCATTGGATATTTTAGGGCTTGTTTCTGTGATTGAGAAGCACCAATCAAATTGAAGGTTTCATAAACATTAAGTATTGTTGTCACGATGATCGATTTATAATCGATGATCGGTCAGAAAGGCTGTCGATTTTAGATAATCGATTGGAGATTTTAACAATCGATTAATTGGTATATTTTAGCACATAACTTTTTTTTTTAATAGTTTTCTCACTTTTAAAATACATGTACTTAAAATCTCTTTAAAATAAATCATAAGATAATGATATTTGTATTTCTAAACTGAAGAAACTAAACTACTTGTATAAATGAAATATATCAGTTTTCAGTATTTGGGGGAATTCACCATTTCATACGGAATCACAAGGATTTGCAATATTAAATGTCTTACATGTATTATATAATAACAGTTTAAAAAATTAATTCCATATATATTTTAGATGATCATGTAAATTAAAACCTGATCTGTTAATGCTTATTTTTCCCAGGCCAAATAATTCCTAATCATGCAAAAATCTGTATTACTGAAATTGTTAATCAAGCTGCATATATATTGTTTTTAGAATTTCAATATGTACAATACACCTTTACTTACATTATTTAAAAATAAAATTCTAAATTTTACATAAAATCTAATGCCTATTTTATGCAAAGGGCTACCGATTCGATTATTGGCCGATGATCAGTTGGTTAGGGTCAACCGATGCTACTGATTAATCGATTCTGATTTTCAACTGATTTGACAACACTAACATTTAGATAAGGTAGATAAAAAAGATTCATTTGACACCCTAAAATGCATGTGTGACAAGTTGTTTATCAAAGAATAGTTTAATGTAATTGGTTGAGCAGTGTTGAGAGATGAGAAAAACGATCAAGATGGGTATTTTTTCCGAAGGACGTCAGCCCACAAATATTAATTGAAATATACCATGGGTCTAATAGCAAACTGTTGACTCAGGACCCCTTGCATTGCAAGGATGGGTCTGATCTTGAAGTCAAAAGAGAGATAACTCTTCCAAAGTTCAGAATTTCACTCACAAGCCTTCCATCCCCACTGCCCAGGTCTATGAACTTTCCTTTCCTGCCTTTTAACATTCGGAACACATTCTCCACCTGTTCCTCCGAGGCGGGGACAAAGGGCAGGCACACCCTCCTCAGTGCTGGGGTAATAAATGGCCCTGCTATCAGGTGAATGCCAAACACTATACCAGCTAGGGTACCAGTTATAATGTAACCTAAGGAAAAGTAAAAAAAAAAATCATGTATTTGCAATGTGATGTTTTTTGACAGGTAATTCACATACTAGTGTCAATTTATCATACAAGTTCAATTAGTGTTTGTTTACCAGGGCTGAGGCTTCTTTTTAACAAATACATTTTTATTTCTTTCTGCCCTTGAATTCCGTATGGAGGAATAGATTTAAAGATTATTTAGAAATTATTGTCTTGGTGAGCAAAAAGAGAGTTCAGTTAAATAGGATATCAATCAAATCTGGATCTCATACACTGAAAGAAGTTAGGAACACAAAAGAAATATAGAAATAAACTACAGAAAAAAGTCAATTCAGATACCAGTATGTCAATCCAGACACCACTGTATATAGAGAAACTAGTTGGATTAGACAACTTTTAAATAATTGAATTAACTGAAAGAGACTTAAATTTACATGTACTTGTCTGAGAAATTAATTATAAAATTTTTGAGAAATCATGGAACGTGTTATTTTTCTGATGACTTGCCACAATATTTTTATCAATCAACTTTACCATTTTTTTTAATAAAAAGTTTGCACAATTATTTGACTCCAGTTACATCAGTATAGGAAATATAATCAAATTCTTACTCATCCAATGGTAGTTCATAATATAAGAATGTGAACTTTTCCTAATTTGCAAAAAATCACAAGGAAAAATATTTGGAAATGTAAATATATTGTAATAACACACAACATCCAGATAAGACAAGTTTCACTGTATTACTGGATGTAGACATTTCCATACCTGAGTATGACTTCTGTTTTGGTTTTTCAGTGGATGAGCTGCTCTCACTGAAGATTGATTCCATGGCTCACAGGAGAATACACTGGGCATGTGTATATATAATTTGCTGAAAATATAAAAACTACAATATTTTTTATTTTTCCATCTATGTGATTTGCAAATGTAACAAAAAGTTAGGAAAATCAATGGACCAGACCAATTGGGATTGAAATGCAAGCTCCCTGAACTCTAGATTGGTGCTCTACGTACTGAGCTATTTGGTCACCAGTGAACACTGGATATACAAACCAGCCTGACCATCAATATCTTCCCTCTTTAAATGTTTTTATCTTCACCCATAAAGACACACAAACCAGGTTTTCAATCATAGCAAGTTTAATATTATCAATAAATAAGGAAACTAATTCAAATCATCTACAGCCAAAAAGCCCAATTGGCAGAGCTAGCACCTGTCTAGAACAAGGGTATGTTACTTTTGTTAGTCAATTCCCTGTCTCACAGATCCATAACATCTTCTGTTTTATATTGGGTGCTGTGACCATGCTCAGAAAGTGACAGATGATTTTCTTCCAAGTGTAAGGGGAGAGGAGAAAATGCAGTGGACCAGACTGGGATTCAAACACGATCCCCCTGAATCTCCGGTCAGGTGCTCTACCAACTGAGCTGTCTGGCCGTCAGCGATCGAACTCGGCTGCCACACAAGGAAGAGCCTGGTTTGGTGTCTAAGTCTTTGCTCCCTTCTCAGGGTAAAGGGGGGGGGGGGGGGTGTTTTAAAGTTTATTGACCCTCTGATTAGTAAAACAAAACAAAATGTTGTACCACAAATGATAAATAGTGGACAGAAATATGGTAAACATCAGTGAGAGTTGTGAGTCAGGCAAGTGCAATCACCAGTAGATAGAAAGCCAAGTTAGTAGAGTGCTTGTCTAAGTGGGAAGGGGTATCGAATCCTGGTCTATTGCATTTCCTCCCTTATTTGCTTTGCTACAGGTCTATGCGAGGTCTAATCCTAGCTGCAATAATGTAGCCCTCTCCGATTTTTTTTATCTGATATTTTCTGGAGAGGCCTCTCCTGCCCCCCCCCCCCCCCAAGAAAGGGGAGGGAGAGAGGGCTATCAGGTCCAGCACAATACCCAGATAAAGGTATATAGCTTGATAAAACTAAATAGCTTTATCAAGGTATTTAAAATACCTTGATCAAGGTATTTTATGTAATGAAAATTCAAAAAAATTCTTTAAAAATTAAATACTGAAAGTCGAGTTCTGAGTTTTTGTCAGTGTCTACTCGTGCATGAAAAACACTCTGGTATCAAAAAGAAAGCATAAAATAACGTCTCCCCACACGACACGTTTTTATACTGATTTGATTGTGTTTGAGTACTTTACATGCATGGGTCAATATTTACTGACAACTCAGAACTCAACTTTCAGTAATTAACTTTTAAAGAATTTTTTTTTGAATTTTCATTACATAAAATACCTTGATCAAAGTATTTTAAATACCTTGATAAAGCTAGCTTTATCAAGCTATATATACCTTTATCGGGGTATTGTGCTGGACCTGATTATGCAGCAAGGTCTAATCCCAATATTTGAAAAAGGCTCTCCTACCCAATAACCCAGATGTCTTACGTTATCAGTTTAAAACAATACGTTGACTGTTATACAAATAACTTTACTTACATTACAAACAATTAATATTCAAATGATGAAAAGCTTTTTGACTTTCAGAAATGTTCTCGAAACACAATTTACATTTTGAACCGAATTTCCTCTTGATGGAGTTTCTTGTTTGCATTGACGACAAATGCCAAGTCGCTGGAATATTGTTTTTGACAGCTCAACGCCGATTTTACTTATTCTGTTTAACTTGATTACTCTCGATATATCACCTGTCACTGCATTTAAATGAAAAAATGCCCATCATCATTTATTTTGGAAGGAACGGCATGATGGAAATTCTTGTTAACTCGTACATTGGCTCATTCGATCTACATAAAAAGACACTGTTCACGCATCGACGAGATCGTTATCAATATATGAATTTCTAAACCGCCTTTGGTTACCTTAGCATGTAAAACTGAAAATATGAAACAAACGGAAGTTATGTAATTAGTTTGTTCCTGGAATTATTTCCAATAAACCCTTTCTACGATGACTGCGATACTGCTCTTTTGTTGGTGAATTATGATGTAAAAGTTATTGTTTAATATACATCATTTAATTATCTTTCAACAACACCTTTGAGAAATGTTTTCAATTTACCCTGCAAAAAAGTAGTGCCACAGTTATTTTGAAGGGGTTGCAATATTTATAGTAGCAAAAAAAAAAAAAAAAAAAAAGAGGCCCACGGGCCTTATAGGTCACCTGAGCATTATGCAACAACTTTCCAATTATTGAATTTGATTCATGTTTTAAGCCAGATGCTATATGGCATTCACAATTTTGAAAGAGGCACCATTGATCATCATAACAATACACTTAGCAGTTGCTTAGCTTGGTTACTGAATACCCATACGCAGGGTAGGGGAACAAAAATGCATTCCAACTAATCAGTAATATTCAGCAATATTCAGTAGTGCTCCTAACACTGTGACAAAAACCCCTGACCCTAGGTCCACACATTGCACAAATTTTAAAAAGGCACCCTTAAAATTGCCTATCATAAAATAAATAAATGTTTTATAAATACAAAGGAGCAGATTTCAAACAATTAATTCATTTTCAGTATATAAGTATAGCCCCCCCCCCCCCCACACTGACCCTGGGGCCTTGAAATTCACAATTCTGCAAGATTAGGGCCCTTGCTCATCATAACTATATAGGTAGTTCATCTGCTTCATACCCAGAGACAGAGAAGAAAATTTTCAAAGATTTAATGTATTTTCACTATATAATCAATAGAGCCCCACCCTAACACCAGAACCCCTGACCCTGGGACCAAAAAATTCACAATTTTGATTGAGGCACTCTTGTTCATTATAACTATGCACTTAGTTAGTTTATTTAATACCCAGGAGCAGAGAAGAAAATTTAAAGAATTCATGTATTTTCACTATATAATCAATAGAGCCCCCCCCTCCCCCCCTAACACTAGAAGCCTTGACCCTAGGGTCATAAAATTCGCAATTTTGGTTGAGGCACTCTTGCTCATCATAACTATGCACTTAGTTAGTTTATTTAATACCTAGGAGCAGTGAAGAAGATTTTTAAAGAATTCATGTATTTTCACTATATAATCAATAGAGCCCCCCCAACACCAGAACCCTTGACCCTGGGGCCATAAAATTCACAATTTTGGTAGAGACACTCTTGCTCATCATAACTATGCACTTAGTTAGTTTATTTAATACCTAGGAGCAGTGAAGAAGATTTTTAAAGAATTCATGTATTTTCACTATATAATCAATAGAGCCCCCCCCCCCCCCCCCCCCACACCAGAACCCTTGACCCTGGGGCCATAAAATTCACAATTTGGTAGAGACACTCTTGCTCATCATAACTATGCACTTAGTTAGTTTATTTAATACCTAGGAGCAGAGAAGAAGATTTTCAAAGAATTCATGTATTTTCACTAGAGCCCCCCCCCAACACCAGAACCCTTGACCCTGGGGCCATAAAATTCACAATTTTGGTAGAGGCATTCTTGCTCATCATAACTATGCACTTAGTTAGTTTATTTAATACCCAGGGGCAGAGAAGAAGATTTTCAAAGAATTCATGTTTTTCCACTATATATAATCAATAGAGCCCCGCCCTAACACCAGAACCCCTGAACCTGGGGCCATAAAATTCACAATATTTGTAGAAGCACTCTTGCTCATCATAACTTTGCATTTAGTTGGTTTATTTAATACCCAAGAGCAGAGAAGAAGATTTTCAAAGAAATAATGCATTTTCACTATATACTTAATATTTAGCCCCGCCCTAGCACTAGAACCCCTGACCCCAGGGCCATGAATTTCACAATTTTGGTAGAGGACTCAATGCTGATTACAATCATGCAAACAGTTTGACTGCTTGATGTCCAGGAGTAAAGAAGAAGATTTTTAAAGATTGCATTAATTTGAATGGTTTTGGTCCCACCCCTCAGGCCCCAGGGGGGCAGGGATCATGAAATTCACAATTTTTGTTCCCCTTCACCCATAGATGCTTTGTGCCAAATTTGGTTGAAATTGGTTCAATGGTTGCAGAGAAGAAGCTGAAAATGTTCAAATGTTAACACACGACACACGACACACAACACACGACGCACGACGACGGACGAAAACGGATAGCAATAGTTCACCTGAGTTTACTCAGGTGACCTAAAAATTCAATAAAATGCTCAGCTCTCCAACTATGGAACCATCAACCATCATACCACAGTTCCCTAATTTAAATTTCTTAGCTCTCAATCACTATAAAACAAATATATGCCATTTTCCACAGTCATGCAATTCCCTTTCATTCACCAAATGAAGCACTTGATCACAGGTGCTTGAGGACAGGACCCCCCCCCCCCTTTCGATATAGACCCCTGGGATTTTTCGACTTTTTTTCATAAAGAATCTTTCATTGACATATTTGTGATAAGACCTATACCAAAAAATCGAAAAATTACCTAAAACAAACGATCCATAAAATCTACCCTACATTCTATATATATAAAGTTAATTTATATATTGAGAGTGGGGTAGAATTTTTTACAAAATGTTAGTTTAAGCAAATTTTTTGAATTGATATGATAGATTATATCACAAATGTGTCATCCATATATAATTTATGTGAAAAAAGTCCAACAGGCCCGGGGGTCTATATTGGGGGGGGGTGTCCTGTCCTCAAGCACCTGTGCACTTGATATCTAAGAGATGGTATAATCCTCCTCCTTCCTAGAATTCTAGATATATAAACATAACTTAACACTTCCTTTTTTAACTTTTTTTTATTTGTTGTTGTATAACACATCTACTTTGACTTCAGTCCACTTTTCTTGACAACAACTGGTTTCTGGCTCCTCAGCAGGGCACTAGCTCTCCTGACAGCAGCCTGTAAATGTCATATGTCTACCATGAAAACAGACATCACCAAAATATGCCATCTTTGACAGGGAGAAAATCTTTCGATCTTCTACACAAAGAACACATATGCAAAATTCTATTTTTACTATAACAATAATAATAATGAAATTTCAATTAAGGGGTAAATGTTCAGCTGTCTATATTTTCTATATTTATTTATTTCCCTCTAACTGCCACAGGACTTCCTGCTAAATATTCCAAAAATCTCACCATTTTCAGGTCCTTCCTGTAGCGGTTATTACGGAGAGTTTTCTTGATGGTGCTGAAGGTTTTCCTGGACCCTCTCTTCAGCTCAACTCTGTTGAAGCTTTTTCCAGGGCGTTTGCCAGCTGCAAAAATATGGTTACAAAATTAATATAATATATACAATCTTTTTGTAAAGCATTCCTACATACTCTACTTCAAATACATGTACTTAGAACCTATACTTATATGATCTCCTATATTTTTTTTTGTAATGATAAGTTTTTTTTCCTGCAATATATTAAGTAGAAATTGAACCAAAGCTGTTTAAACTTTGATATTGAACAATAGCAAGTTTTAGAGGGAGGAATGATAACAATTTTAGTGGGAGAAATGATAATAGTAAAAAAACAAAACCTATTAACATAAAAGAACCTGAAGGTCTGCAATGTGCTCAATTTTCTCATTTCCAATGTTTGACATTAAAATCTGAAAGGAATTTTCTTTTCAGAAAGCAATTCTTTTGCAAACAAAGTCTTCTGAAGCATTTGTTAGTAAGAAATCTTCCATGCCATGATGCTGCTGATTTAAAAGTTTTTGGGATAATATGTTCATTCATGTAAGCATGATTATCTGACATATGAAAATAAAAATGTCCAAAATATCTAACACTCAGATGTACATTACAAATGCAACGAAATGTATACAAAAGAATCAACAAAAATTGTCCTTTAATTTTAATCAGGGGTGTGCAATTACAAAAATAAGTTACTAGCCCATCGGGCTAGTGGCAGTAACAAAGTTACTAGCCCAGGGTTGCCAGTCACTGTCCCATTAACTACCGAAAACAATACATACAAGTATATGTATAAGATAAGTGTAACACAAAGGTAAAAAAAAACATTTAAGTTGAAATAAATAAAAGAAGAGGCCCAGGGGCCACAACGCTCACCTGAGCACATCTGGCTTGAATTTACTCCCCCCCCTCCAGGCATTCATCATTTGAACAAACTAGAATCTACACTACCTGAGGATGATTCCATATAAATATCACTAATCATAGCTTTGAAGTACTTGAAAAGTATTTTAAAAGGTTTCCCTAGAAACTACCTGAGGATGATTCAATATAAATATCACTAATCATAGCTTTGAAGTACTTGAAAAGAAGATTTTAAAAGGTTTCCCTAGATATCCCTATGTAAAACTTGGGTCGGCCATTTTGGCCCCACCCTAGCCCCGGGGGTCATGATTTGAACAAACTTGAATCTACACTACCTGAGGATGATTCCACATGAGTTTCATCTTTCCTGGCCCAGTGGTTCTTGAGATGGACTTTTAAAGATATTTCCTATATATTCCTATGTAAAACTTGGGTCGGCCATTTTGGCCCTATCCTTGCCCCGGGGGTCATGATTTGAACAAACTTGAATCTACACTACCTGAGGATGATTCCACATGAGTTTCATCTTTCCTGGCCCAGTGGTTCTTGAGAAGAAGATTTTTAAAGATTTTTCCTATATATTCCTATGTAAAACTTGGGTTGGCCATTTTGGCCCCACCCTTGCCCCGGGGGTCATGATTTGAACAAACTTGAATCTATACTACCTGAGGATGATTCCACATGAGTTTCATCTTTCCTGGCCCAGTGGTTCTTGAGAAGAAGATTTTTAAAGATATTTCCTATATATTCCTATGTAAAACTTGGGTCGGCCATTTTGGCCCCACCCTTGCCCCGGGGGTCATGATTTGAACAAACTTGAATCTACACTACCTGAGGATGATTCCACATGAGTTTCATCTTTCCTGGCCCAGTGGTTCTTGAGAAGAAGATTTTTAAAGATATTTCCTATATATTCCTATGTAAAACTTGGGTCGGCCATTTTGGCC